GAGGTGACAAGACGGATAAGAACGGAGGGAGGAGGGGAATGAGGTCCTGGATGGTTTGTTCTCGAGTTCGGTTCAGCGGGCGCTCGGGTTCTCGCGCGATGGGCATCCGCTGCCTCTACCAGTCGCACCCGTCGGGCTTCGTGAGGATCCGCATGGACGCTCAGGTGGACGCCCCGCTGTTCGATCTGCTGTCGCTGCTCAGGGAGGTAGGGCTGTGGCACACATGGGCGCCCTCCTTCGGAGGCCGTCGGGCTGTCGCCCTTCTCGCTGCCCTTCCCCTCCCTGTTCCCCATCCTGGCCCCTATGGCCCCTCCATCCTCCCTGCCTTTCTCCGCGCCGTCCTCCTCCTCCTCCTCCTCCTCCCCTCCTCCTCCCTCCTCCTCCTCCTCCTCCTCCTCCCTCCCTCCCTCCCTCCCCTACCCTCCCCCCTCCTCCCTCCCTCCCTCCCTCCCTCCCTCTTCCCTCCCCCATCCCTCGTCCACCATCCCTCCCCCCCTCTCGGCCCGGCGGCGCCAGAGTTGGCCCCGCACCCCGTCACCTTGGGGACCGCCGGGCAAGCGGGAAAGTCTAGTCTGCTAATTACGGGGAGGAGAAGGAGGAGGAGGAGGAGGAGGAAGAGGGGGGCTGCGCGCTGTATGCAGGGGCGGCCGGCCGGCAGGGAAGGAGGGCAGCGGGGAAGGGGGAAGGGAGGGGGAGGAAGGCGGGGGGCGGGGGGCGGGGACGGCGCCAAGGCACTGGCGTGGGTCGGCGTCTTGTCGGCCTGGAGGCGTCGCCGCCGTGTCGGGGGCGTCGTCGGCGCGGGCCGTCCCCGTCGTCACGCTGAGGGCGCGCGGGGCGGCGGGGGCGGGGGCGTCGTCGTCGAGCTGGTCGCCGGACTGGCGGCGGTGCGGCGGCCGCGGTGGTCTGCGCGGGCGCCGAGGTCGCGGCGGTCGTGCTGGTTGTCCTGGCGTCTGCGACGGAGACCGTTCGACAATCAGGTGGTTGTCGTGGTGGCCGTGGTGGCCGTATCTTGGTGGTCAGGGCAGTAGGCTGGCCGCAGTAGTAGCAATCGTGGCCCGGGCGTTCACTGCCCAAGCGCACTCAGGAGCATCTCGGCGTTCCCCGTGTGCAGCGTCACGGAGATCTCCCGCCAGAGACTGCTCAAGAGCTCCGAGCGCTCCTCGTCCCCGAGACCGCCGCCGTAGCTCCGCACGAAGGCGGCGGCCTCTTCTGAGGGCCGCCCCCCGGCCTCGAAGACCATGGGGACGAGCTCCAGGCCGGGCCTCGGGGGGTACCGAGCTCGCTTATCCTCGACCATCTGGGCCGCCGCGAGGCCACACCTCCGGGACCGGGCCAGCCTGCGCGGGGCATAGGTGGAGTATGCGCAGGTCACGGCCCAATCCACGTGGATGTGGTGCCCGGTGTTTTGGTCGATGGTGACGACGTCGAGGACAGCCTCCTGGACGCGTCCGTCAGGGAGGCGCCGGTCCCACGCGGGGATCCGCTGCTCTGTTGGGGCCGCGTGGCCAGTGAGCTCGGCGTGGCGCTTGGCGTGCATGTCCCGGAGGCGGTTATGTCTCCCAGTCCGGGAGCCCCCAACCTCGCACGCCCTGGCGTGCCAGCCCTTCCTGTCGAGTAGCTCGTTGCACCGCTGCCCGGTGCTCTTGCACTTGTGTTGGCACCGAGCCCCCTCTGGGCAGACGGGCATGTCGAGCCGCATCTTCAAGTTCACGAGGAAATGTTTGTCCGGCTGCGCAGCGTCCCCAGCGCCCCGGGGCAACAGGAACGAGCCCGCCCCAGTGCCGCCGTTCGACAACAGAGAGAGGCGGCCGTCCTCGTCCAGCAGCGTATCCAGGAGCCGCTTCTTGTTGGCCTCCGATGCAGCTTTGCCCCAGCGCCCCTGGCGTTTGTGGTGCGGCTCCCGCAAGTAGTCCAGCAAGTTCAGCGGCTCGTCCCCCAAGGCCCCAGCTTCCCAGAGCGCCCTTTCCGCCTGGGACAGCGCCGTGAGGGTGCGCGGACAGCGGGCGTCGAGTTCCTCCCTTGTGCTGATCCCTAAGCAGGCGGCCACGTCGTGGAGGCAGAGGGCCCAGCTTGCGGCGTAGGCGGCCGGAGCTGTCTGGGAAGCGGAAGGGAATGCGCATCCCCCGTCCGGGAGGCGGAGCGTGGCTCGGAGGCGCTGCGCGTCATTGAGGGGATCCTGGAGGAGGTGCTCAAGAGCCGCGAACAGCACGTTGTCGAGCTCCCCGACCCATCCGGTCTGCAGATTCGCCCGGAGGTGGTGTGTGACGCATCCCTGGCCGTACGTGCGCAGCAGCGTGTAGAACGTCTCGGCCGTCAAACCAGCGGCTCGCAGCTCCTGGGGCCGAGCGGTAAATTCCCGAGCCCGGCTCACAGCGGCGGCGCCGTCTGCCCCAGCGTGCACCAGAACCCTGTCTTCTTGTTGCTCCAGCCAGGGCGCGGCATTCCCGAGGCACTGCAAGTTCGCAGCGCGGTGGGCACTGATGCCAGGCGGGAGGGGGGCTTGTGGGTCCGCCGTCCAGGCCTGCGTCTTTGCGGGGTTGACGGTGAGGCCGAGGCGCGCGAGCTCCTCAGGAACCAGCTGGGCTGCCGCAGTGGCGTGTTCTGGCGGAGAAAATACCATGATGTCGTCCAAGTAGGAAAACACCCTGCACTGAGGAGACAGCTGTCGAAGCCTCACATTGATCGCGTCAAGAGCCCCCGCCACGGTGATCGCGAAGAGAGCCGGCGACAGCGGGCACCCCTGGTCGACTCCGCTAGTGGCCCGCACGAGCGCAGCAGAGTTGCTGTTGTCCCAGAACAGATGCGTGGTCTCGCCGCCGAGCCAGCTGTGCGCGGCCTTGAGCAGCACGGGCGCCCTGGCACGCACGCCGTTGAGGATGTGCTGCCTGGGGAGGCTGTTGTACGCGTTAGTGCAGTCGAAGGCAAGAACGACGGCCCGTGGGTCCGCCTCCGTCAGCGCCGAGATGCACTTGTGCATCACCTCGCACCCTCCAGGTTTGCCAACAGCATACTGGTGCGGCCCACACGCGCTCTTTATGTCATCTGAGAAGACGTCGCAGGCAGCCTTGGCTGCGAGGCGGCGCAGCACGCTCCCGCACGCAATGGGCCGGACTCCCCCGTTGCGCTTGCGGAGAGCCACCAGCCGCGTGCCGAGGTTCGCCCGCATGGCCTGCGGGGACAACAGGCCGTACAGAAAGAGGACCGTTACTTTAGCGACGGCGTCGAGTGCTTCCGAGTCCTTCAGGAGAGTGCGCCAGTGTTCGAAGCGCCCCCCGTTGGGCCCAGGTCCAGACATCCGCGGGCTGCGGGCGAGGTGGCGCTTAACTGCCGTGACCAGGTCGTCGTTGGTGTCCGCGCCCGGGAGCGCGAGGTCGGCAGCTGCTGGCGGGGCCGCTCCTGCGGGGAAGAGCGCCTGCAGGTCGGCGAGAACACCTTCGCCCGTGGCCACAGTGGCCGGCCGGAAACCACGAGTCATGGCCTTGCTGACCAGGCCTTCGCTGGCGAGAGCTTCCACTGCTCTGGCGACTTTCGCGGGCGAGTCAGCGCGCCGAGCTCGCGCCGGTCCGGCTCCCGCCTCGGTGTGCGCCTCTCTCCAGAGCGCCCCCCAATCTCCAGCTTCCGCGAGCCGCAGGCGCCTCGTGAAGATCGCGGCCCGGCCGCCTCTGTTCTTCCCAGCCTTCCTCCCCCCTCTGGTCTTGCCGGGCTTGAAGAACAGGACCCTGTCGAAGAAGGTGAAAAGTTTTTCGGCCCGTTGGAGGGTAGTCGCGTCCCCGCTTTCGGCTGCCTGCAAGAGTCGTTGCGCGACGTGCCCTCGGAGCTGCGCAAACGCACTGCCCACCGCGTCCGGGACATGTAGCTCAGTAGCCACGTGGCGTCGGAGTTCTTCGTACTCGACGTTGTCCCACCACGCTAGGTTCCTCGGCTGCTGCACGCCCTCCCCGGGTTCCTCTGGCAAGTCGTCGGGCCTCCCGTCGTCTGCACCAAGGAGGGGAGCGCCGCGGGCGGCTTCTTGTTGGTGTCGCTCGGGGTCTGCTCGAAGGCGCTTGGCCCGCCGCGTGTCCTCGACGTACTGCGCCCTAGTAGTCCGGCCTGCCTGGTCGCAGTGTGCGCGCAAGGCGTCCGCCTGCTCCTGCGGAAGTGCCGCGGCGCCCGCCAGCTGGTCGAAAGGGCCCAAACCACCTTCAACGCAACGCGGGTGGTAGTACAGCTTGTTCACTTGGCTTGGGTTGAACACGCGCAGCTCGCCCTTCTCGATGCGGCCCCCGCACCCGGCCGCCCTGCAGAGGCACGCCCGCCTTGTGCGCAGCGCGTCCACGGCCCAAGTGGTGACCAGGGCGTCCCGTCCCGACGGCGGCCTGGCTTGCGGGTGCGGGGGTGGCGGCGGCGCCGCCCCCCCGTCGAGCTCTGCGCCCGGGAAAGCTGGCCAGAAGCAAGCGGCCATAAGGAGCAGGCCGACGAGTGGGCTGTCAACGGCCCCGCTTCCCGCTGCGACTACCCCCGCGCTTCCCAGGCGGCATAACCAAGGGCGAACGTGTATGTCTTTGGCGATGGCCCCCAAGCCGGCAAGGCCGACGCCCGCGCGCCACCCTCCACACAGCGCCGCCCGCGCGGCCATCCACGGCACCGGCTTCCCAGAGACAAGTGCGATGATTTGTATTGCTGGGGCCTGACTGCCGGCGGCGCCGTGGAACAGGCATCCGGCGCATACCGGGAGCCACACGTCCGGGCCCATGGCAAAAAGAAGGCCTCGGAGCGCCACCTCGCAAGACATTCTGGTCAGGCCGAACACCGCGTCGAGGGAGGCTTCGGCCCAGGGCCCCAGTGGCGGACGCCAGTCTGGAGTGCCTGGGGATGACGAGCTGCCGCCAGAGTGGCCTGCCTGGGCCCCCGACGCCACGGCCGCACACGACCGCACGTGGCGTAGGTAAAACAACTCGGCGCTGCTGGTCCGGTGGCCTCGCGGAGGCGTCTCCAGGGAGCGCGTGGCCCACAGCCTGCCGATGCGGTTGCTCCCCATCGTGACGATGTCGTGCTCGTAGTCGAGGCCGCAGGCGCTGGTCGAGCTGCTCTTCTCGGTGGTGCTGCTCCCGGGTGTGGACGTGCTGCTCACTGTTGTACTTCTGGGTCTGCGTGTGGATGTCCGCGTCTGGGTGTTGCTGGTCTCGGTCGTGCTCGTCACACTCGTAGAGATGCTCTCAAGCGTACTGCTCGCCGACGTGCTAGGCGTAGTGTTGCTGCTGGTCTCGGTCGTACTCGTCACCCTCGTGGTGCTGCTCTCGGTCGTACTGCTCGTCGACGTGCTGGGCGTAGTGGTGCTGCTGGTCTCGGTTGTGCTCGCCCCCCCCGTGGTGCTGCTTGCGGTCGTGCTGCTCGCCGACGTGTTTGGCGTGGTTGTGCTGGTCTCGGGCGTGCTCGTCACAGTCGTGGTGCTGCTTGTGGTCGTACTGTTCGCCGACGCGCTGGGTGTGGTGGTCCTGCTGGTGTCGGTCGCGCTCGTCCCGAACGTGATGCTGCTGTCGGTGGTTCTGCTCACCGACGTGCTGGGCGCAGTGATGCTGCTGATCTCGGTCATGCTCGTCACACTCGTGGAGATGTTCTCGGTCGTACTGTTCGCCAACGTGCTAAGCGTAGTTGCGCTGCTAGTCTCGGTCGTGCTCGTCACACTCGCTTTGCTGCTCTCGGTCGTACTGCTCGCCGACGTGCTGGGCGTAGTGGCCCTGCTGGTAGGGGTCGTGCTCGTCACAGTCGTGGTGCTGCTCTCGGTCGTACTGCTCGCCGTCGCGCTGGGCGTGGTGTTGCTGCTGGTGCCGGTCGTGCTCGTCACACTCGTGGTGTTGCCCTCGGTCGTACTGCTCGCCGACGTGCTGGGCGTAGTGGTATTGCTGGTGCCGGTTGTGCTTGTCCCACTCGTGGTACCGCTTGCGGTAGTACTGTTCGCCGACTTTCCGTGCGTGGTAGTGCTGCTGGTGCCGGTCGTGCTCGTCCCACTCGCGGCGCTGCTTTCGGTTGCACTGCTGGCCGACGTGCTGGGCGGAGTGGTGCTGCTGGTCTCGGTCGTGCTCGTCACACTCGCGGTGCTGCCCTCGGTCGTACTACTCGCCGACGCGCTGGGTGTGGCAGCGCTGCTGGTCTCGGTCGTGCTCGTCCCAACCGTGGTGCTGCTTTCGGATGTACTACTCGCCGATGCGCTGGGCGTAGTGGTGCTGCGGGTAGCGGTCGTGCTCGTCTCACCCGCGTTGCTGCTCTCGGTCGTACTGATCGCCGACGTGCTGGGCGTAGTGATGCTGCTGGTCTCGGACGTGCTGATCATACTCGCGGCGCTGCTCTCGGTCGTACCGCTCGCCCACGTGCTGGGCGTAGTGGTGCTGCTGGTTTCGGTCGTGCTTGCCCCACTCGTGGTGCTGCTGCTTTCGGTTATACTGCTCGCCGACGTGCTTGACGTATTGGTGCTGCAAGTAACGGTCGTGCTCGTCACACTCGTTGTGCTGTTCCCGTTCGTACTGCTCGCCGGCGCGCTGGGCGTGGCGGTGCTGCAGGTACCACTTGCGCTCGTCCCGACCGTGATGCTGCTGGCGGCGGTTCTGCTCACCGACGTGCTGGGCGTAGTGATGCTGCTGGTCTCGGTCGTGCTCGTCACACTCGTGGAGCTGCTCTCGGTCCTACTGCTCGCTGACGTGCTAGGCGTCGTGGTCCTTCTGGTCTCCCTCGCGCTCGTCCCCCTCGTCGTGCTGCTCTCGGTCGTACTGCTCGCCCACGTGCTGGGCGTAGTGGCGCTGCTGGTATCCGTCGGACTCGTCATGCTCGTGGTGCTGCTCTCGCTTGTATTTCTCTCCGATGTGCTGGGCGCAGGGGTGCTGCTGGTGGCGTTCGTACTCGCGTTTCTCGTGGTGCTGCTCTCGCTCGTACTGGTCGCCGACGTGCTGGGTGCAAAGGTGCCTTGGGTACTAGTCGTACCCGTCTTGCTCGTGGTGCTACTTTCGGTCGTAGTACTCTCCAACGTGCTTGGCGTAATGATGCTGCTGGTTCCGGTCGTACTCATCATACTCGTGGTGCTTCTCTCGGTCGTCCTGCTTGCCGACGTGCTTGGCGTAGTGGTCCCGCTGGCACAGGTCTTACTCGTCCCACTTGTGGTGCTGTTCTCGGTCGTGCTGCTCGCAGAAGCGCTGGGCGTAGTGGTGCCGCTGGTACTGGTCGTACTCGTCATTTTCGCGCTGCTGCTCTCAGTCGTTCTGCTCGCCGACGTGCTGGGCGTAGTGGTGACGCTAGTACCAGTCGTACTCGTCATACTCGTGGTGCTGCTCTCGGTTGGAGTGCTCGCCGACGTGCTGGGCGTAGTGGTGCCGCTGGTACTGGTCGCACTCGTCATTCTCGCATTACTGCTCTCGCTCGTACTGCTCACCGACGTGCCGGACGTAGTAGTGCCGCTGTTACTTGACATTCTGGTCATACTCGTAGTGCTGCTCTCGATCGTACTGCTCGCCGACGTGCTGGGCGTAATCACCCTCGTGGTGCTGCTCTCGGTCAAACTGCTCGCCGACGTGCTGGGCGTGGTGGTGTTGCTGGTCCCCGTCGTGCTGGGCATCCTCGTGGTGCTGCTCCCGGTCGGACTGCTCGACGACGCGCTGGGCGTGGCGGTGCTGCTGGTACCGGTCGTGCTCTCCACACTCGTGGTGCTGCTCCCTGTCGTACTGCTCGCCGACGTGCTGGGCGTAGTGGTATTGCTGGTGCCAGATGTGCTCGTCCCACTCGTGGTCCTACTTCCGGTTGTACTGTTCGCCGACGTGCTGAGCGTAGTGGTGCTGCTGGTGCTAGTCGTGCTCGCCACACTCGTGGTGCTGCTCTCGGTCGTACTGCTCGCCGACGCGATGGGTGTGGCGATGCTGCTCGTATCGGTCGTGCTCGTCACACTCGCGGTGCTGCTCTCGGTCGTACTGGTCACCGACGTGCTGGGCGTAGTGGTGCTGCTGGTCTCGGTCGTGCTCGGCACCCTCGTGGTGCTACTTTTGGTCGTACTGCTAGCCGACGCGCTGGGCGTAGTGGTGCTGCGGGTACGGGTCGTGCTCGTCACATTCGTGGTGCTGCTCCCGGTCGTACTGTTCGCCGACGCGCTGGGCGTGGCGGTGCTGCTGACCCCGGTCGTGCTCGTCACTGTCGCGGTGCTGCTCTCAGTCGTACTGCTCGCCGACGTGCTTGGCGTAGTGGTGCTGCTAGTGCCGGTCGTGCTCGTCACCCTCGCGGTGCTGCTCTCGGTCGCACTGCTGACCGACCCGCTGGACGCATTGGCGCTGCTGGTACCGGTCGTGCTCTTCACCCGCGTGGTGCTGCTTTCGGTCGTACTGCTCACCAACGTGCTGGGCGTATTGGCGCTGCTGGTACAGGTTGGGCTCGTCATCCTCGCGGTGCTTCTCTCGGTCGTACTGCTCGCAAACGTGCCAGGCGTCGTGGCGCGACAGGTAGCGGTCGTGCTCGTCCCCCTCGTGGTGCTGCTCTTGGTCGTACTGCTCGCCGACGCGCTGGGCGTGGCGGTGCTGCTGGCACCATTTGTGCTCGTCCCGGACGTGATGCTGCTGGCGGTGGTTCTGCTCGCCGACGTGCTGGGCGTAGTGGTGCTGCTGGTCTCGGTCGTGCTCGTCACACTCGCGGAGATGCTCTCAAGCGTACTGCTCGCCGACGTGCTAGGCCTAGCATTGCTGCTGGTCTCGGTCGTGCTTGTCACCCTCGTGGGGCTGCTTTTGGTCGTACTGCTCGCCGACGTGCTGGGCGTAGTGGTGATGCTTGTGCCGGTCGTGCTCGTCCGCATCGTGGAGCTGCTTTCGGTCGTACTGCTCGCCGACGTGTTGGGCGTGGTTGTGCTGCTGTTCTCGGTCGTGCTCGTCAGAGTCGTGGTGCTGCTTTTGGTCGTACTGTTCGCCGACGCGCTGGGCGTGGCGGTGCTGCTGGTATCGGTCGTGCTCGTCCCGAACGTGATGCTGCTGTCGGTGGTTCTGCTCGCCGACGTGCTGGGCGAAGTGATGCTGCTGATCTCGGTCGTAATCGTCACACTCGTGAAGATGCTCTCGGTCGTACTGCTCGCCGACGTGCTAAGCGTAGTGGCGCTGCTGGTCTCGGTCGTGCTCGTCACACTCGCTTTGCTGCCCTCGGTCGTACTGCTCGCCGACGTGCTGGGCGTAGTGGTGCTGCTGGTAGGGGTTGTGCTCGTCACAGTCGTGGTGCTGCTCTCGGTCGTACTGCTCGCTGTCGCGCTAGGCGTGGCGGTGCTGCTGGTGCCGGTCGTGCTCTCCCCACTCGTGGTGCTGCCCTCGGTAGTACTGCTCGCCGACGTGCTGGGCGTAGTGGTGCTGCTGGTCTCGGTCGTGCTTGTCCCAATGGTGGTACCGCTCTCGGTCGTACTGCTCGCCGACTTGCTGTGCGTGTTAGTGTTGCTGGTGCCGTTCGTGCTCGCCCCACTCGCGGCGCTGCTTTCAGTTGTACTGCTCGCCGACGTGCTGGGCGTAGTAGTGCTGCTGGTCGCGGTCGTGCTCGTCACACTCGCGGTGCTGCTCTCGGTCGTACTGGTCGCCGACGTGCTGGGCGTGGTGGCGCTGCTGGTCTCGGTTGTGCTCGTCACCCCCGTGGTGCTGCTTTCGGTCGTACTGCTCGCCGACGTGCTGGGCGTAGTGGTGCTGCTGTTCTCGGTCGTGCTCGTCACAGTCGTGGTACTGCTTTCTGTCGTACTGCTGACCGACCCGTTAGGCGTAGTTGCGCTGCTTCCAGTTGTACTGCTCGCCGACGCGCTGGGCGTAGTAGTGCTGCTGGTCGCGGTCGTGCTCGTCACACTCGCGGTGCTGCTGGTACCGGTCGTGCTCTCCACACTCGTGGTGCTGCACTCGGTAGTACTGCTCACCGACGTGCTGGGCGTAGTGGTCGTGCTGGTGCCGGTTGTGCTCGTCCCAGTCGTGGTACCGCTCTCGGTCGTACTGCTCGCCGACTTGCTGTGCGTGTTAGTGTTGCTGGTGCCGTTCGTGCTCGTCCCACTCGCGGCGCTGCTTTCAGTTGTACTGCTCGCCGACGTGCTGGGCGTAGTAGTACTGCTGGTCGCGGTCGTGCTCGTCACACTCGCGGTGCTGCTCTCGGTCGTACTGGTCGCCGACGTGCTGGGCGTGGTGGCGCTGCTGGTCTCGGTTGTGCTCGTCACCCCCGTGGTGCTGCTTTCGGTCGTACTGCTCGCCGACGTGCTGGGCGTAGTGGTGCTGCTGTTCTCGGTCGTGCTCGTCACAGTCGTGGTACTGCTTTCTGTCGTACTGCTGACCGACCCGTTAGGCGTAGTGGCGCCGCTGGTCTCGGTCGTGCTCGTCACCCTCGTGGTGCTGCTTTCGGTCGTACTGCTCGCAATCGCGCTGGGCGTGGCGGTGCTGCTGGTCTCGGTCGTGCTCGTCACCCTCGCGGTGCTGCTCTCGGTCGTACTGCTCGTAAACGTGCCAGGCGTCGTGGCCCTACTGGTAGCGGTCGTGCTCGTCACCCTCGCGGTGCTGCTCTCGGTCGTACTGCTCGCCGACGCGCTGTGCGTGGCTGTGCTGCTGGTACCGGTTGTGCTCGTCCCGAACTCCGATGCTTGCCGTTTTTGTGCTTTTTTTTTTTTGTTTTTTGCTTCTTTTTGCTTTTTTTTTGAGTTTGCTTTTTGTTGATTCCTTGCTTTTTGTTGTTTGTTTTGTGGCTGTGTGGTTCTGCTCGCCGACGTACCGGGCGTAGTGATGCTGCTGGTCTCGGTCGTGCTCGTCACACTCGTGGGGATGCTCTCGATCGTACTGCTCGCCGACGTGCTAGGCGTAGTGTTGCCGCTGGTACAGGTCGCGCTCATCATACTCGTGGTGCTGCTTTCAGTCGTACTGCTCGCCGACGTGCTGGGCGTAGTGGTGCTGCTGGTCTCGTTTGTGCTCGTGACCCCCGTGGTGCTGCTTTCGGTCGGACTGCTCGCCGACGTGCTGGGCGTAGTGGTGTTGCTGTTCTCGGTCGTGCTCGTCACAGTCGTGGCGCTGCGTTTGCTCGTGCTGCCCTCCGACGCGCTGGGCGTGGCGGTGCTGCTGGTATCGGTCGTGCTCGTCCCGAACGTGATGTTGCTGTCGGTGGTTCTGCTGGCCGACGTGCTGGGCGCGGTGGTGCTGCTGGTATCGGTCGTGCTCGTCACACTCGTGGAGATGCTCTCGGTCGTACTGCTCGCCGACGTGCCAGGCGTAGGGGTGCCGCTGGTACAGGTCGCACTCATCATACTCGTGGTGCTGCTTTCAGTCGTACTGCTCGCCGACGTGCTGGGCGTAGGGGTGACGCTGGTACTGGTCGTCCTCGTCATACTCATGGTGCCGGTCTCGGTTGTACTGCTCGCCGTCGAGCTGGGCGTGGTGGTTCTGCCGGTGCCGGTCGTGCTCGTCACTCTCGCGGTGCTGCACTCGGTCATACTGCTCGCCGACGTGCTGGGCGTAGTGGTATTGCTGGCGCCGGTTGTGCTCGTCCCACTCGTGGTACCGCTTTCGGTCGTACTGCTCGCCGACTTGCTGTGCGTGGTAGTGTTGCTGGTGCCCGTCGTGCTCGTCCCACTCCCGGCGCTGCTTTCGGTCGGACTGCTCGCCGACGTGCTGGGCGTAGTGGTGCTGCCAGTCTCGGTCGTGCCCGTCACACTCGCGGTGCTGCTCTCGGTGGTGCCACTCGCCGACGAGCTGGGTGTGGCAGTGCTGCTTGTACCCGTCGCGCTCGTCACACTCGTGGGGCTGCTTTTGGTCGTACTGCTCGCCGACGTGCTGGGCGTAGTGGTGATGCTTGTGCCCGTTGTGCTCGTCCCCATCGTGGTGCTGCTTTCGGTCGTACTGTTCGCCGACGCGCTGGGCGTAGTGGTGCTGCGGGTGGCGGGCGTGCTCGTCACACTTGTGGTGCTGCTCTCGGTCGTACTGCCTGCCGACGTGCTGGGCTTAGTGAAGCTGCTGCTCTCGGTCGTACTGCTCGCCAACGTGCTGGGCGTGGTGGTGCTGCTGGTCTCGGTCGAGCTCGCCCCACTCGTGGTGCTGCTGCTTTTGGTTATACTGCTCGCCGGCGTGCTTGACGTAGTGGTGCTGCTGCCTTCGGCCGTGCTCGTCACACTCGTGGCGCTGCTCTCGTTCGTACTGCTCGCCGACGCGCTGGGCGTGGTGGTGCTGCTGGTATCGGTCGTGCTCGTCCCACTCGTGGTACCGCTTTCCGTCGCACTGTTCGCCGACGTGCTGTGCGTAGTGATGTTGCTGGTCTCGGTCGTGCTCGTCACCCTCGTGGTGCTGCTTTCGGTCGTACTGCTAGCCGACGTGCTGGGCGTAGTGGTGCTGCTGGTACCGGTCGTGCTCGTCACCCTCGTGGTGCTGCTCCCGGTCGTACCGCTCGCCGACGCGCTGGGCGTAGTGGTGCTGCTGGTCTCGATCGTGCACGTCACCCTCGTGGTGCTGCTCTCGGTCGTACTGCTCGCCGGCGTGCTGGGCGGAGTGGCGCTGCTGGTCCCGGTCGTGGTCGCCACCCTCGTGGTGCCGTTCTCAGTCGTACTGCTTGCCGACGTGCTGGGCGGAGCGGTGCTGCTGGTAGCGATCACACTCGTCATGCTCGTGGTGCTGCTCTCGCTCGTACTGCTCGCCGGCGTGCTGGGCGTAGTGGTGCTGCTCTCGGTCGTACTGCTATCCGTCGTACTCGTGGGCGTAGTGGTGCCGCTGGTACTGCTCACCGACGTGCTGGACGTAGTGGTGCCGCTGGTACTGGTCATTCTCGTCATACTCGTAGTGCTGCTCTCGCTCGTACTGCTCGCCGACGCGCTGGGCGTGGTGGTGCTGCTGGTACTGGTCGCACTTGTCCTACTCGTGGTGCTGCTCTCGGTCGGACTGTTCGCCGACGTGCTGTGCGTAGTGGCGCTGCTGGTCTCGGTCGTGCTCGTCACATTCGCTTTGCTGCTGTCGCTCGTACTGCTCACCGACGTGGCGGACGTAGTGGTGCCGCTGGTACTGGTCATTCTCGTCATACTCGTAGTGCTGCTCTCGCTCGTACTGCTCGCCGGCGTGCTGGGCGTAGTGGTGCTGCTCTCGGTCGTACTGCTATCCGTCGTACTCGTGGGCGTAGTGGTGCCGCTGGTGCTGGTCTTACTCGTCATACTCGCGGTGAGGCTCTCAGTCGTACTGCTCGTCGACGTGCTGGGCGGAGCGGTGACGCTGGTACCGGTCGTACTCGTCATACTCGAGGTGCTGATCTCGGTCGTACTGCTCGCCGACGTGCTGGGCGTAGTGGTGCCGCTGGTACTGGTCGCACTCGTCATACTCGACTTGCTGCTATCGCTCATACTGCTCACCGACGTGCTGGACGTAGTGGTGCCGCTGGTACTGGTCATTCTCGTCATACTCGTAGTGCTGCTCTCG